GAAGAAGAAAAAAATTCACTTTTACCGTTACAGCCTCCTTTGCACATAGATTCACAAATGATCACAATGTAGGTAAGGATTGAGAACAAAAGTAGGTGAACTTCAATTACTTTTAGGTATGTAATATATTAGCTCATGCATGATGTATATTAGCTAGTAAGGTAACATGGTCCAACATTTTGTGGCACGTTGACCCTTCAAATCTTATAAGTTTTGGTCAAAAAACTCAACAAAAAACCAAGTATTTCTTAAAAGAAGTCGCAAACGCATTAGAAGCAGACTTTTATACCGTTTTCATAAGCTTTTGATTTACGTGTTTTATAATTAGATCTGACCGCTTTTGTGGGTCAAACAATAATAAACCACCCCCGCTTCAAGCAAAAATTTTTAACTCATATCTGATTTCCTTTCTTCTTCAAATTCCTAATACCTATCTCTTCATCACTGATCTATAGGCTCTCCTATCTGTCATCGCCCATAGTTCGTATTCTATGTTATGAACTTCTTGTTATGAGTTATAATTCGTCGTAGTTCAAAAGCCTATCAAATTAGCTTGTGTTCGAGAGAGTGATCTATCATATAATGACGTATAGATAGTTATTCACTTAATAGTGATTGCATTTCAACAAAGTACGTAGAAGATTTTTATCAAATTTACAGGATGTATAAAACCTTCCAATTCTAATCTGTCAATCATTTTGCCTATACATAAAAGCTAGATTTTAACTACATTGATCACACATGGTTAATCTTGCAATAAAATATATAAACATACCGTTCAGATGTACGCTAGCCTTATAGTACGCTCATCGAGTTTTACTGTTTAGATTATGAACTAACCAAAATTTGGGGACGTGATAGTATACCTAACTTCTAATGGTTGAACTCTGCCCTACTTCTCAAAAGTGAAATATAAGATTCATTTGATCTGAAAATAATAACCAATAATTCTTATTCATCGAAGTATATCAAATAGATGTGAACGCATACATATATTATACGTTAGACCTACACTGACTTTTAGCAGAAATATACCTATATTATTACATGCCCAACAAAATACAAAAATAAAATATTGATAGCAGCGATGAACTGATATTACCAAAAATCTGCCATCAAAATGACTTTTAGTGTCAACATATGTATTTCGTGTAAATGGCTCTCCATCTACCGTTAGTTTAGTGCTTCTCCTCCGCTTTCTTTGTAGAACAGGTCTTAAGCGATATTAGAGAGGACAACTAATTTGAACAATAGTTTACACTTTATACTCACCCGCTCCTTTTGATGATTTTTTTATCTCTCTGGATGAATAAGTCTTTATTCATAAAAAAAAAGGGATGACAAATAGATCACTCTAACTGGTAAAACCATCAGCCCAAAATTTGAAATGTAACTCTAAAATTTTGTCCCTAAAATTTGAAATGTAGTCCTAAAATTTTATATAAGACTTCAACAACTTCAAGTTCGAAAAACTTCCTCATGTTCTAGTAACAGTCACAAAAAATGTAAAAAGATTCATTAAAATATGCTTGCATTAGAAAAACAACCGGAAAGTTTCAAAAAGATTAAAATTAAGAAAAACTTACATTTCAAGAATTAGCTATATCACATAAATGTCAAACTATTTATTGTTGATTTAGTTATTTTTTCCTTTATACTATTGATGGCTTACCTAACTATTTCGGTTAACGTTTAATAAATACCATAAAAATGTTTAATAAATCAATGTGAATTATTTGATTAATTTAGCATTACTGTCTTGGTAGTACAAACAGATTAATTGTCGAAATTGAATTCTTTTCCCCCTTGGAAAGCTCACTATGAAGAATGTTAAAGCAACAAATTTAATAATGATAATAATGAGACATCATCAATTGCCTCTTTTGTTCTATTTAGGAAACACACGACAAAGAATAAGTTATGCTATATGGTTTGAATTTTTTTTAATAAGAAAACAAATACTCGCCTCATGTGATTCGTTCGTTCCTTTAACATTCGGACTTAAATGTTTTATTATTGTTTTAGACCCATAATCAAAATCCAATTCATAGTTCATACACTTTCTATCGTTTTAAATATATAATCAAAATCTAATAATTCGTAATAATAATTAGTCATATACATAATAGAGGTCCAGAGGCCCCCAGAATTTGGAAGCCCTATGCCGAAGGGCCGACTGGCACACCATCAGAGCTAGCCCTGCCAACATCACTCAACACCCTCACTATCAACTAATCTAATTACATCATTTTCCGAGATAACATAAGCAATAGGAGGTTATCCATTCCAAATTATCATAAGTAGCTCCTGAACTTTCTTCAATAACTTATCTTCTTCAGTGAGAGTCGTACTAACATAAAGTCTGCGACATCGTTCTCTCCAAAGCTCATTAACCACAATCATCCACAGCAACCTTCAAACGAAGCCAACTCATAAGATTGAAGTTTGCACCAGACCCATCATATCTTGTGTTTTAATCAACTATTAATATTGGAGGTCGTGAAGATTCAAACACACGACCATTTGAGCAAACCAGCTCTGATACCATATAATAAGTCAACTGGTCTCAATAACTCGAATTGTTGGTAAAAAATTGTACTAGATCTTATATCACTCTCTAACGTCTTGAACTTTGTAGATTTTATTGAGAATGGCCAACCAAACTATTAATTTGTCTCTAGGTTTGCAGAGAGACTTCCAAAGCAGATTATACCCTTCTACCCTGTCTTCCTTTTGGCCTTATAGCTTCCCAAACTTTAATTTATTCAAGGAAATTTCTCCCATAAGAACTCTAATATTCCAAAAAAACCCAGAAGCTATGGCGTGCAGATGTTCCTCTTAATGATTTAAACAATGTTCGAGTACTTAATTATCTTCCATACTCAGTCACCTGTGGAGTTAGTAATGAATTGAGCACCAAGCCATACCAAACTCATTCTATATTGATAATGTAAGTTGCTAGATATAATGCTTACGATAATACAAAGAAAATTAATAACCCAGAGAATACTCTCATCCATTATATATTCTGCTACTACATATTTTTGTCCAGGAAAATAATGCAAGAATATGTCAACTCTTTGAAATAGGATGACTTCACCTATTACGTCTAAAATGTCACATACAATAGATTGACAATGATAGTTGTGGAATGATTTGCAGGATGGATGCGGATATATGCTGATTCCTAACACATTAAAGAATGTCATGGTAGGACATGCAAAAGCTTAATTACAATATATAATTTTGGGTAATCATTGCCTTCATTCCTTGTTGATTGAGCTTCGTCTAACAAATACGGTTTGATTATAATTTATAAGTTTAATAACTGAAACGGTATTGGCTAGACGCAAGTAACTTGGTCAGTTATACTTGTGCAGGATCAGAAGGATAAGACTTGGTGTTAATTGATGGAATAGATTATGAACGTAGTGATTTCCGGTTTGATATTCATGATAGTTTTTGTCATAGCATCTGCGCGACGTCAATTTGAAACCTTGACAAATAAATCGGCCAATAACACTTAAACGTTTTCTCATACACAAGAATACAATGAGCTGTTGGTTTGTGAATTGGGAAGTATACACCAGCAGGAAATTTCATTTTCTAGTGTTGATGTGGATGGATTAATTCTGATCAATTGTCTCATTTTATAAAAATGAGTCATTTATAACAAGTCAATTTGAATTATCTTCTTACACCCAAATCATTAAAACTATCTCAAAACTAATCGGTTCAAAATTCTCCAACCCAAACTAATTCTTCCAAATTTTATGCCGACTGACGAATCAATTTAATCTCATATCTCAAAAGTCAAAACCAAACAATTGGCTCAAATGAATCCATCATGTTTTCATCGTACAAACCACCCATTGAATTTCCGGGACAACATGAGAGGTCTTACGGGTTGGTTTTGATCCGAAATTTGATGTCTATAAGGACAAAGCCCAATGTCTCAAAGCCCACACCTCATACCCTTATCCTTATTTGGGCCCTAAAACAGTAATCATATATGGTAGGCTATAGCCTATAGGTTCTACTTCTCTTCTAACCTATGATCCACTTCCATACAGTAGTCCAATATTTGTACACATTCACATTGAATTTTAACATGTTTGGAAATATGTTATATTTGTTTTGAATATATTTTCTTAATGGGCAAAACGTCTCATAATAGAAAATCAAACAAATTAACAAATACTTAAAAAAAGAGAGGAAGAAAAAACAGTCATGACCAGGAGAATGATATGAAATACTGCTAAGCAACCGACTTACAAAAAGTTACTATAAAAGCAAATGATGCACAAATCAACTTCACAACAACGTTGTTGTTTTTTTAGATGCAATATGTTAAATGCATCATACCTGGTAGCGAAGTCAAAATTAAAGCGAGTGAGATTAACAATTTTCAAAATCATTATCGAAACTAGTTTAAGATCTTGGAAGGAGAGACTTTATATTCTACCATATATTCGGTCATTTTTAACGTTTGTTTATTAGTTTTTCACATATTATAACCTAAATCAAATATTGATACAACACATTATGAAGAACACATAACTCTATTAACCCATCACAGATTATAGATGTGTACTAGCAAAACCAAGTATGCATGGTTTCATCCGTAATATACTTGAACATTAGTAGCACAAATGGTGGAATATCCCTTGTTTGGAGTGTTGGAACCCACTATTATATTGCCTAAACGTATACCGTTCATTGAAAGATAATAAACTTGAGCCTTCGTATAAATTTATGTAGATTGAATCATCAAGAAGATAAGACATAAAAACTTCATTTGACAAACTAAAACTTCAATAAAATCTTATACAAAATAATCAATTTTAACGATTGTGTCGAAATTAGGAATAACATATCACAGATGTTCAAACTAGACAAACTATTAGTCTTCATCCAACCAACACGACTTAAGTTGAAAAGCTTGAATAGAAATGAAACAAAAATGGCGGTTTGAAAGTTGAAATTCAACCACGTAGAAATTTAATTACAATTTTTAATTAAAGTTAACAACAGAGCAGGGGAACCATGGGGTGAAAATTAAATTTCAGGCGGCGTGCGCGTTTTATAGCGGATGAAGTTGTCGTTTTGTTAATTTGGACGGGAGAGAGAATAAGAAAGAACAAGAGGGACGCGGGATCGGGCTTTAATGGGGAAAAAAAGAAAAGGAGGTTCAAAGAAGGAAAGGTTGAAGAAGGAATCCGAGCGTTAAGGGAACGAGTAAAGGGAAATTAAGGTGAATTCGGGATCTTCGCCTACGCAAGTGGAGATCGTTGGTCGGAAAGAGGGAGCGAAGAGAACTCTAGGGTTGCCGCAGAGGCGAGCTGTGAGAGCCTCCGCGGCGGCGCCTTGTTCAGCTCCGCTGCCATTGTTGTCGCCCGTCGTAGGTAGTAGGGAAGAAGTGGTAAGAGGTACCGAGATCGAGAGGGAGGGAGGGAGAAAAAAGAGCGGGCTGTCCGGTCTCCATTATCGCCACCACCGCCACCAAGCTTCGTTCTCCGTCGCTCTCGTCGCTGCTGCCGTTCCTCTCTTCCCGCTTCATATTCGTTGCTCCGCGGCCCTCGGATCGTCCAGTAGTTTGGTAAAGCTCCTTCCATGATATGATGAAATCGAGAATAGATGACTTGTCGATTTGCTTTTTTTGGAAGAATGCTTGATGAGTTGGAAGCATTTGTTGTTTGATTGGTGTTTGTTGCTTGGAAACTGCTCCGATCAACTTGAATATTGATGTTTTGTGTTCTATTGCTGATATAACTGGACAATGTTGGCTGTAATGGACAAGTTAGAGACAGGGAATGGCTTCTCTCCGTAGTCCTCTGCCGAGGAAATGTGAAAGCGATTGCTTTGTCCTTTGATCTTCGGCTGTATGTAAGCAAAGTGCTTACCCATTGGTTCATTATCTTCTAACTTTTCCACCTGCGGTCATTAGTTCAAGTAGATGCGGCTAAGTCGTAGACTGGGATTGAATTTGATTTGATGATCTTGGGTTTGTTTTAGTTTTACATGTCTACTGGAAGGAAGTGTGGTAGCTTTCGTGTCTAGCTTGTAGTTCCTCTGATGTATGAGCTAGCAGCTTACTTCGAGATCATATGGACAGTTGATGCGCAGTTAGTCTTGGATAGTTGGATGTTATTTAATGGATGTTGGTGTTAAAAGCTATTGTCATGATCGTATGCATGATAATTTTATATAAACATGTTTCTTTCCCACGATTGCCCGATCGTCTTTGTTGGATGTTTTAAGTTTTTTTCTTCTGGTTTCTATTTGAGGAAAATGATTCACTTGTTGGTTATGGAAAATTGGATCTCTGCAAGTATGTGGTTGAGCCTTGTCTGACCTGTCACCTCATCCTGGATGTTAAAAAGCTGGATTTCTCGAAATATTGTTAGAAGCGAGGACCCTTCACAGCTCAATGTTGACTTATTAGGCAGGCTTTAGAGAAGCTACAACTTAGTTGTTATTCTTCCAGTTGATTTTCCTATGTGCATCTTATATAGAGCTGTGTACGGGGTCGTACATGTTGCTTTTGAAATTGATGTGATGTATATTTTGTTTCACTTGTCTTTTTCTTTCCCAGTCTTCTGAGTTCTTAAGAAGGTTTAAGTTTTAAGCTTGTCCTGTTCCTTTCTTGTCTTCTTTGTTGGTCTGATCCTAGCCTTTTGCCAATAGATCTATTTGTAGCTTGCTTTGTTTCATTAGACTTTTTCTTTATTACCAAAATGTGATGGGTATGCTTTGGTCTCCTCTTTCACTGCATCATCTGTCTCTTTCCAGTTTCTCTGATTCCTGCAACTATGTTGGCCATTCTTTGGTTTTCCTCCATTTTACTTGGTCCTTCACATATGAAGTTAATTTTTCCCCTTGTTGCTAATTTTGCATATGATTGTATTTGCAGGGTTGACCTGGTCCTTCTGATGGATTGTTAGGCAGGGATCTAGGCACATAGTCTAGTACTTTCTGCTTTCTTCTGCCTGCTTTATCACGTAAATGGGCTGCTTTAGCTCCAAGGTACTTAGGCAGTTTCCAGGACACGAGGATCCAGTAGCTCTTGCTTCACAAACAGCTTGTAAGTTGCATTGTTTGCCTTTTAATCTGTGTCCAACCTTTTTGATAGTCCTGATGTGTCTTCCACCTTTTTCTCTACATGTGAGCATTTTGTAACTGATGATAATTTTCTTAATCCCTCTCAAGATTAGTAATATAACAGGGGAAAAGATCCTTGACATTATTTTTTCTTCCCCTCTTCAGTTCTGTGGAGTGTAATTCAGTCCTTGGCATTATTTTACGTCACTTTGGTGCGTCTTTGTTGCCACTTTATATAATTCCAGGTGGAGGATGCTTGGTCTCTCTTTTATGACAGTTTAGCATTTAATCCAAGTCTTAAAGTCTAATTGTATCAAGTTTATACAAACTCCTGATCATATGCCACTTTTACTGTGCTGTTTCTTCGTGTTTGGTGGTTATGCTTTCTAGTTTTGGATTATTGAAGTCTCTAATTTGTTTCATTTTTTGAGTTTCTTAGTCAGTGTTAGTGAAGTTGAAGCACTGTTTGAACTCTTCAAGAGCATTAGCAGTTCCGTTATTGATGATGGGCTGATAAGCAAGGTATTCTCCAAGAATAGCATCAATTGATGGCCTACCTTGACTGCTTTCTGAAATTGATTTGTTAGAATAGTGCTTATTAGAAGCCTCAAATCTAAGTGTGAACCCTTTTGTTCTCAATCATCTAATCATAAAAGATGCATTATTCTCTTAAGGCAATGCTATTTTGCGATATGTTGCCCATGCTAAGTACCTCTGTTTTATTGTGGTGCAGGAAGAGTTCCAGTTGGCTCTTTTCAAGAACAGAAAGAAAGAGAACCTCTTCGCAAACAGGGTAATTATTCTTCTCTGAAACTGCTGTCTTTCAAAGAATGGACTACGGAAATAGGAATAATAAACGGCCTCTGTCTCACAACCATGATCTTATTGACTCCATTTTGTGCAGATATTTGATTTATTTGATACTAAGCACAAAGGTGTGATTGATTTCGGGGACTTCGTCAGATCACTCAATGTGTTCCATCCTAATGCCCCGCAAGAAGACAAGATTGATTGTAAGCCCAATATGCGAGTATGGCAAAGTATCATCTTTTGACTTGTGAGTTTTACTGATGGTGATAATGTCTAACTGAATGTGCAGTTTCATTTAAACTCTATGATCTGGAGAACACAGGATATATCGAACGTCATGAGGTGTGATTCTTTTGCTTTATACTATAGCAAGTCAGTATCTGTTCATTTCAGTAGTGCAGAAATTCATATAGCTACATGAACACTAGGTTTGTTCGCCAAGATCATTGCATGGTTTTCAGTATAATTGAAGTCACGATGGCAGCTGTTTATCAATCTTTTTTCATGTTGTTCTCTGTCCATTTGTGTAACTCTTATTCTCTACTTTCTTTCTTCCTTCCCAAACTCGCAGCTGTTTATCAATCTTTTTTCATGTTGTTCTCTGTCCTATTGTGTAACTCTTATTCTCTCCTTTCTTTATTCCTTCCCAAACTGGCGGCAGCTGCTTATCAGTATTTTTTATGCTGTTCTCTGTCCAATTGTGTAACTCTATGTCTCTCCTTTCTTTATTCCTTCCCAAAATGACAGGTTAGACAAATGGTGATCGCTCTTCTTTGTGAATCCGATATGAAGTTAACTGACGAGACCATCGAGATAATTCTTGACAAGGTAAGCTATTGAATAACTCGTCCTTCACATCCACATAGTTCAACGTTTCACTCGTTTCAATCCTTTCATGCAAACGCCCCACGTCTCCAGTTACCCAAATGCTTTTCTTCCTTCTGGGAGTTTATGTTGCTAGTCTGACGTCTCTGATTTGTTGCTTATCAATAAGACATTCTCGGAAGCTGATATAGACAACGATGGGAAGATAGACAAGAGCGAGTGGCATAACTTCGTCTTCAAGAATCCATCTTTGCTAAAGATAATGACCCTTCCCTACTTGAGGTACCTAACCAATCCAATCTTTTCCTTGTGTGCTTTCTTCGTACAAGGCACATAATGTTGTTTTGTTGAACTGCAGGGATATTACCACTACATTCCCAAGTTTTGTTTTCAACTCAGAGGTGGATGAAATTGCTACCTGAGGTGGGGAAAAAAAAAAAAGAGAAACAGAAGTGAGAAACTGAACACTTCTTACTGATGCAAGTTGCAGTCTATGTGAAAGATTGGCTGTTTAATCCATGGAAATAGAGATTAGTAGCGATATTTAGCGGGTATTGATGATGTGTCGGGGTGCGAGTGATCTGATTTTTTCTTTTTTGGTCCACTTATTTCTAACATCTTACAGAATTCGGCCTGTATTTGAGCCCTCGCTACATACAAAAGAAGAAGAAAAACCGTATATCCCTGTTACGGAGTTTTGAGTTTGATGTTCCTTTTTATTTTTTGATGTTCCTACTTGTAGAGGAGATGAGGGTGTATACCCATATAATAAATGTTCTTTTTTTAGCTTGTGACTGGTGTTGTTATTGAGTGATGCAATGTTGTTGCTCCAATTGGCCTTGGGGAAGAAAGTTTCTCAATATGCAGCTAGATGTGGGTTTCAAGCTTGTCTTTGAGAATGGCGCGGGCTAATGTTTGTGTGACTGTGTTTTTTTCTTGTAAATGGTGGATTATTTAATCCCTATTGTACGGAACTTGGGCAGAAAATTGGGCTTGTTTTTGGGCAATAGGATCGTCTTATAAGTTAGGCCTCCACAAACCTTACAAGGTAGAGGGTTGTAACAACTGGAGTTTGGTGCAAAGATTGCCAGTTCATTTAAATGTATTATTTTGGTTCTATAGTATTTTAAATCAAAACCTGTAATGTTTTGGTATATGGCATTTCATGTGATATTTCAGTTTGAAATGTGGCAATTGAGTCTAATTGTCAGTTTTTTTTATCAAGAGTTTAATTGTCTTGTTTGTATAGAACAATTATTGTAGGATTTCAACTTAAAGAAGGAAAGAATGAGTTGATTGAAATGTCCAAAGGGGACTTATTATGCATCATTTAAAATTTCTCCATTATACCACAACAGATTTTTATTTCACCGAAATAACTCATCCAAATACTGCATCAGAACGTCGTTAATTGTAATTGTTGGGAAGAGATTGTTAATGTAATTTCTTAAGAGTTATTTGAATTTATCAAATAATTAAGTTGCCACATAAAATGTTGGAGAGCTCTTAGTTACCCAAACTGGATCAATGGGCAATTAATAAATATGATATCACTAGGCAAATGAGATCAAGAATAATTTTTTCAATTTTTTATGAATCGGCAATAGTAGTTTCCTTAATGTGATAGTCAATATTATCGATATGTCGAAAAAGAGCCTCTTTTTGCTACGCAATGGGCAACTCTGGTTAGCCCTTATTTGCTAAAAATAAAGTGAAAAAACACGGAAAACCTCTTCACTCTGCCCAGGCCAAACAAGGAATGGAATATGCGTAAGATGACAATGGACTGGACCGCAGGGCTAAGATCAGGTGACTAAGGGGGTCATTTGGTCACATGACTAAACCAATCTCAGCCCTTCCACCTCATTATAATCCAATCTCAGATTAATATAATTTAATGAAGGACAATGTAGTAATTACATTATTATTTAATTTATTAATTAAAAGCAATTCTTCACTGTCCCTTCCTCGTCGTCGTCGGTTACAAAAGTATCCAGGCGTCCCTTTCCGGCAGCTTCCTGATTTTTTGACAATGGTGGAGGAGGATTTTCTGACGACGGGAAATTTTCCGACGTCAACGCCAGTTTTGTGATGTTTGTCGGACTATTTTGTAATGTTTGTATTGATTTGGTTTGTATTGTTTATCATTCTAGTTTGTCACTTTATCTATTATGTTAGTAATGTTTATATGACTAATTTGTATATATTGTAATTTGTAATGTTGTTTGTCTAGTTTGTATACGTTATGCTATGATTTGTATACTTTTGTATTCATTGATTCGTAATACAAGTTTACTGTTTTGTATTGTAAGTAGTGGCATTTTGTACTGTTAGTATGTTTTGTAATGTTTGTCAGTTTGTTTTGTAAGGTTTGTAAGCTTTGTTATTTTTGTAATGTTTGTTGGTTACTTTTGTAATGTTTGTATGTTTTGTCCAGCGGCGGATCCAGGACATAAGAGAGCACTGGACCGTATTTGAATAAATATTAGATACCATAAACAAACATATATAATAATATAGTTTTCATTACAACGCCAATTGTACAAGAAGGTCTTTTAATTTAGCAAATTCATCAATAATATAATCTCCATCCATACTGATAATATACTCTTTTTCAAAGAAAATAGTTAAGTAATCAACGAGAAATTCATCGCTCATTTTGTTGCACAAATCAATGTTCATGTTCCATTGCTGAAAATATTCTCTTCATGGTAGTTGTTGAAACGGCTAGGTCAACACTAGACAAATCAATTTGTATTATGTGTCCATCCATGTTTCCTCCAGCTTCTCTAATAATTTTGCAAGAGAAGAAACTTCATCTTCCTCACATGAGTAGTGCATTCTCCAAAGAATGCATCTCATAGCCTTCAAAGTCTCGAGGCTAAACTCTTGAGCAAGTTTGTAAATATTTTCTTCATCAAACACCAGAAAGAACTGTTAGAATCTAGTGCCCCACTCGATTGAGACAATCTAAATGATGACTCAACAAGTTTGTAAATATTTTCTTAATCAAAAGAATGGAAAGAAAACCAGCTCGACGGGCTAGCAGAGAAATCCATTTTGGGTCTGCTTGTCTCCTCGTTCTTGTTCTGTTTTGGGGGGATTGGGAATTTTTTTTAATTTTGCAAGGAAGGGTGTGCTTTAGTTTAGAGTTTTTTATTTTTATTTTAATGAAACTTTACACTTTTAGGTTTTCATGTCATTTTTCAAATAAAATCATTGGGGCTATAGAAAATTTAGTATAAATTTAGAGTAATGGTTTGGATATGTTCATCTGAACCATTTTTCTAGTTACACAAAATCCTATTATCAAATAAAAATAGACAAAATTTTAAATAGCACTAGGGCAAATACCTAAATCGAAATTTTTTATAAATACTAAACTAACTCTTGATCCAGAGGAGGGATGGGCCGAGGCCTAGGTTGGCCCAGCCCTGGATCCGCCACTGGTTTTGTCGTTCTAGTTTGTACTGTTTGTATGTTTGTAAGTCCATTTTGTACACTTCAAATTTTTCATAATACCCAAACTACCTCTGTCGGTAATTAAAAAGTCATTCCCATATTTTAACCGTTGAATTGTTGTGTCCGGATCTAAGGACTGGGAGGGACTTAGTCAAATGACTACCCCTAGTCACCTGATCCTTCCTCCCAGACCGCATTACCCCAAAGCATCGCCCCCGAAGCCTCTGCAATAAGCATTGTCGCACAAAAGCGAGAGCAAGTCTTAGATAATTCTCGATGTGTTGTGGGGTCATTTTAGGACTCCAGGTCGGATAATGGTCCAGTATTAAAATAATTGTCCAATATTGCAATAAAAAGAACATAGCTTCTCAATGTGTTGTTAAGATAGATCTTCATATAGCATTTGACTCTGTTAACTGGAATTACCTATTTTGTGTAATGAAGAAGATGTGCTTTAGAGGCCTATGTGTTTATATGAGTAATTCAATTAATGATCCATCATCATTACGATTTGGAGCACAAATCAAACATTTTGTACAATTTGGACTCACTATATGAGCTTGCCCTCATGCACGTTTTGTGATTACGATTTTCTCTTGCCTACTACCGATGAGGAGGCGGTTGAAGAGGCAACCCATAAGGACTTCGAGGATCAAGAAGATATTTTCACGAAGAGCTCTCGTGATAATGATGCGCAATTAAGTCCCTTGGTAATAAGAAGCTTGTGAGAAGAGAATATACATGGGTCAAATTGGTGTACTCATGGAGTATACTATACTCCAGGTACCCTTAGTGAGATATCTCTGTCTAGACCATGAATTTAACCGAGTTTGAGGTATTATACTATGGTCAATCGATCTAATTGGAGGGACGTACCTCATACCCGCAAAAGAAATTGAGGCAATCGATTCAACTCCCTCAAGTTAAACCCCGTAACGACGCAATGTAACAATTCACTCTAAAACATGACACTCTATGGTAATTGAGGATTAGCTGGGAGCCTAAACGATAACATGGCATAGACAGGAAGAGAAGTTTCAGCTAACTATATCACAAATTCACAACTTCTTTGCCCACTAATGAAAAAGCTTAAGATTTCCAACCCGAATTAGAGCAACAAGGGCATCCTCCTCAAACCAACCAAATAACAGTTAAGTATCGACATCCTATACCTCGTTTAGATGATATGCTTGATGAATTACATGGTTCCAGCATGTTTTGAAGATTGATTTGAGGTCATCCTATCACCAAATTCGTATGATCGAGATGAATGGAAGACAACTATTAAGACCACATACATTCCTTTTTTTTTTGCCTAAAAGAAAACAAACATCAAAACCAAAAAAATCCAAACTATGAGAATGAAGTCATTAGTTGGCGTAACCGGAAGAATCACAAATTAGTGAGGGCAAGGTTGATGGAGGAGTTGGCGATGATGAACTCAGACGGCAAGATGGTATAGGCCCTAGTATCGACGATTTCATCGATTCGTACAAATTCTCCTAATTGTACAATTTGGACTCGCTACTAAGAGTTTGTTCTCAAACACGTTTTATCATTACGACACAATTTCGAAGTTTATGTGTTTATATGACTAAACCAATCAATTAATTATATGTCCATAAACATTACAAGGGCATCTATGAAATCTTTTGATGATGCGACAACGACGGGTAACGTTGGTGATGGTTGGAGATCTCAAGATAGAAGTGGTCGAATCCCCATGGAGGTTGGTTGTAAAAATCGAAGAAGGTAACGTCTTGGAGATGGAACGAGGGAGCGTCGGGCGGAGCTGGATGATGGTGATAACCTCGTCTGATTCTTTTTGTGGTCATCGGGCAAAATTGAAGGATTGTGATTCTCATGGTAATTGGCGCGGGAGAGAGAAAGTAATAAGTGAAAGCCAGGGAAACCCTCCCCGGTCCGTAAAAAAAAAAGCAAGAAAGAAAATAATACAACAAAGACGAATTTGAAGAATAAAAAGACGACGAAACAACAGGAAAGCAAAACCTATGTTGAAGAGAGACAGTTGGACGGATGGAACGAAGGGCGACTGAGGGATAAATGATGACCGACTCACTCATTCACCTATTTCATAATAATAAATACTAGTTTATTACTCGATAAATGAGAGGGAAAAAACCGCAAAAAAGAGGAAGAAGCTACGGCGACACCAACTGCAAGATAAACAGTGAGAGAGGTGTTAAAGGGAAAGTGGAAAGAATATGGTCCTTCTTCTCTTCTATTAACCTACCTATAAAAAAGGTGGAAAGAATATGGCGTCGATGCCTCAAACACATTTAATCAAACCTACCCATCAAAGTTAATTTGATTACAAAATAAATGAGGTGGGGGGTAATTTTAGAATGCCATTAAATACTGTCAAGAGAAGAAAAAAGAAATAGTCTGTCCTCTTTTGGCAAGTAATCCTCACAAAAAAAATTTCACCATTCTATCAAATATGAGTCAAGTAGTTTACTTTTTCTTTGAAAAAACGTCAATGACAGTACATGAAACAAGATTTATTTTCAAATGGCGAGGACCATAGTCTAATCATATAATTAGTTTTCTCCAATATCTTAAAATACACAATGTAAATGAGACTTTGACAAATGCATATTTTTCGGCACTTCTTAGTTTTCTCTTTTTTTAGCATTGTCTAATAGATGGTCTCCTCCCACGATCTAATGAGAGAGTGATCTTACATGCCCAAATTCACCAATTGTACATAACCAATGTATCATGCGAATTGTGCTCACGAAAAGTTGGAAGTTAAAACCTTCATAATAAAGACACAAAATTATCATGCTCGAATGCCAGGCATATCTTCCCGCAATTCTACATGTGCGCCACAAGGCATGAGGCGTGCATGTTATTGAACAAGTAATATTGGGGAGCTAAGTGGGATAAGTTCAGCTGACTATGGGATACCTTTAATTATGTGACTAAAAAGTGAATTTCAATCATTTATCCTCATTTCAATCTAATGGTTCTAATTAATCTAATTTAAATAATAATGTGATAATTACACAACTTATTTAATTTTTAACTATTAAGCAATTAAAAGAAGTCTCTCATCGTGCCTCGTCCAAGGCGGGCTTTCTTTGCCTCGTCCAAGGAGGGCTTCTTCCTTTGCGCCTTCCCACACAGAGAGAGATTTTTTATGGCGGATGAGGCTTTTTCGGCGACAGTGAAGGAGGATTTTCTGGCGGTGGATGAGGATTTTTTCGTCGATAGTACTAGATTTGTGATATTTGTTGGTCTATTTTGTAATGTTTATATCAATTCGCTTTATATTGTTTATCAATTTTTGTCTATTATGTTTGTAATGTTTATATGACTAATTTGTATATTTTGTAATTTGTAATGTTTGTTTATCTAGTTTGTATACTTTATGTTATGGTTTGTATACTTTGTATTTATTGGTTTGTAATAGAAGTCTATTGATTTGTATTATAAGTAGTGGTAGTTTGTATGGTTAGTATGCTTTGTACTGTTTGCCGGTTTCTTTTGTAATGTTTGTAAGCTGTGTTACTTTTGTAATGTTTGTCGATATCTTTTGTAATGTTGGTAAGTTTTCTTATTTTTGTAATGTTTGTCGATTTCTAGGGGTGTGCAATGGTTCGTACCGACCAGACCGAGTATAATGTGGTCCGGTCCTTGGTCAACATTAATTTTACAATTACTAAAGAAATGATGGACTGAACTGATATTTGGACCAGGTCGAACAGATCAAATACCGAAAGCAATGATGGTTCGGTCTTTGGTTCTAAGATGTCTTTCACTAATGGACCGTGGTTCTAATGAGTTTGGTCTGGTACCACTATCGATTTCTTTTGTAATGTTTGTAAGCTTTGTCATTTTTGTCTACCATGTTTGTAATGTTAGATTAGATGACTGAAAAATAACCTGATTGACTTTTGTACGAAACTCTGGTAAATAATAAATCTTAGTAAAGAATTTTGAATGCGGCTCAAAACATTTACATAATATCATATGGAAACACGAACGTCTCTACCCTCTGGTAAAATGTGGTTGTGAATGAAGGATGAGACGAGATTCTCAAAATTAAGATTGAGACTTGAGTATCGTTGTGAGAGTTAGGATAGTGGTCGAGAAGGCTACTAACACGTATTGAGAAGTCGGCTAAGCAGTGGCGGAGGGAGAGTATAACATGGTGGGTCCCGGGACCCACCCTGACTCGGAAGGAAAATTGTTCAATTAGGTACAATAGTTAGTTTATATCGAAAATTAGGGCGTATTCAATTGGGAATAGTTGATCGAAAGATTTTGTGTTTGAATCTTGGCGACCTCATTTGTTAAGTACACGGTATACAAATTTGTGCAAACTTCATTTTTCTATAAGTTGACTTTCTTATATGAGGGAGCCTGCTAGTAAATAGTATAAGATATATTATTGAATCTCTTCCAACAACTCAATTTATTGATTCAAAAAGATTCTTGACAAATAACATCATTTGTAAGCGAATGACTAATTAAATCATGAATTATTGTTTGGTGTAAGATTTATTATTAAATATCTCTTGACAACTCGAGTTATAGATACTAATGGTTTTTGACAAAGAACATCATACGAAACAGAACGACTAACTAAATCGTTAATAATTGTTTGGTATATAGAGTAATATTCTTGATACTTTCGACTGCTAATTTATTTTAATTAACCAAAATTTTCCAATATAAGATTATGTCATGAATGATTCGCAAAGTTAACAAAAGATTATTTTACCAGGGGTATTTTTCTTTTAAGTGGACCCACCTAAGATGAAATCATGGCTACGCCACTGCGGCTAAGTCCTCGGTTTGGTCCAGTAAACCACAATCAAACACCAGATCAGACTAAGAGATCAAAACATCATATAGTACAGACTATGGACCAGACCACCATACTTAACCGTCTATGGTCCGGACCAAACTGTGCGATTCGATTTAGACAATGATTTTTCAAGCGGTCTGATCTATTTTGCCAATCCTAGAGAAGATAGAGAAGATGAATGTCATTCTGCTTAAGACGCATTCAACCACGAGCAAATAACTACTTGTGGCCAAAGGAATAACTTTGATAATAGAATCAGGGCTAACAAACGACCTGGAAAATCACTTGCAAGATGCAGGATGTTATACATTCTACTCTCACATTTGACTATAATTTGAACCAATTCATTCTATTTCAATACTTTGTACATTCATAGACATTTACTGCATCTCGCACAATGAAGTACATTATGATGTGCAAGTCGTTTCCTGATTCATGCAGTGCAGGTATATTCAAACTGAAGCAACATACATGGACCCACCCAAACAGACTTATAAATCTGGATTCCTCCATATCCATTTCTGTACGCAGAAGATAAAATTTCTACCTCCAAATGACATTCAACCCTGAGAGCAAATATGGCGATAGGGCAAATCCTACTTCATTACATCCTACCTCATCTTCTCCCGAGAAGGTTGTTCCGCCTCGACTTGATTGCCTCCTCCCTCGAGTATCAATATTTGGTGCATGGTTGTCCAGACCACAAAAGGCTTCCCGGGAAGCAGTATGGTAATGAACTAATGATAGTGAAGCAGTAGATGGCCTCGATTCATATGCACGAGGATTATTTCTTGGAATACTTGTCATAGCATCAGAAATATACCAGTGGTCTTACCCATAGTCCGACCATGATCTTACCGACATCGCTGTGACATTATCCTACTCCATTACACAAGTTGTAATTCTAATAGACTCTGTTAAAAACAAATGAGAGATGTGAAATCCCAACAACCGGCGACACAAAAAGAAACACAGGAGGAGAGGTGATCACATTAACATATCAGAACTCAGATTGATACTGAAGATGTAAATGTAGGCACGACGAACAACATCAGATTGTACTTATTATTAAGAATGTAGTACACCGGAAGAAAGGAGAAGAGAGTCAAGATAAGTAAAGCGCAAAGGAAAACAAGATCCCTAAAGCAAAACATGTCAGAGTATTGTCTTTGCAGCCAAGGAAAGGTTCTATTACCGAACGGGAACTGAATGAACCATGCAATGCTCTACAGAAGTAACTGCAAGTTTACTACTAAATGAAAATGAGACGATCTTCAGTTCTTCACACCTCACAGGGAAAAGGATGGACTTTAAACATGCATGCGATCAAAGAAACCTAGCTCTTCTTTCAACAGCGAGACAATTAAATTGATGCTAATTTGATCCATAATTATTATCCTTGCACCAAAAGCTCAGTGTCCAACAGTAACTAAGACTCTGATACCTGTAAACTTGTCTATTAAACGCAAGAAATCGCCTAACAACTACAGAGAGATTTGACTAGCTTAGAATTAGATCAAGTACCTCGGCTTACACCCCGATCTCACCTCGCCTAGATCATAGATGAAGTTAATGAATGCATTTATCTAATCCTATAGCTAATAAACCAACAGCGTAGGTCACAATGGTGTTTCATGTAGAACCAAGGGAAATCATAGCTGTTAAATATCAATCTCATATCTTAAAACTGTACCAATACTATGACTGACCACAAACCACCTAGAACAACGTCTGCTTCTCCAGAATAAAAAACCAAAGCCTACTTGTAGGGACATTGCACGCAATGATGAAAAGCTCACCCTAAAAGTTCAGCTTGGCACTGAAATACAAATACATCAATGGCCAGATACTGTCCAGACAGAGAAGTCAAATAATACATATGAATCCATCTGCGTAACAAGGTACGGCACAGGATGATAACGATATCCAACTTGAAAAGATCTCTTCAACAGGGGAAAAGACTAGTATAACCCCCATTCTCTTGAAACTCTTATCCAGAAACATTGAATTTCCATTACCCGAACCTCAATCCCTAAACCTCCACGATAACAATAGCCTTCATTTCAAACTTTGCATCTACGAGATAGATTTTCCAACTTTTCACTTTGGCTTCAAGAGGATCGATCATATCCATAAGCATAAATAAAAAACCCACGAGGAAGAGATCTCTGACATAAGAGGAGTTCAAATAACTGTTATCCAACTCTCATCCCCAAAGCCTAGTGCCAAGCACTCCAAACTACTACTCTCCAAAATAAAGAATTCTTCTTAGGCTATGTACTTCATAGATATTGCCTAAGCTAAACGAGCAAAGACGAAAATACATATACGCTTGGAGTCAAATAAGGTAATCGGAGGTAAAAAAAAAAAAACAAGCAGGGCTTCAGCTAATTGCTTGTCGATATGAAGCCATTTGCCAATTACCAACAAATGGCATTGTGCATTCCCAAGCCAAACTACCCATGACTGTAGTCAGGAACTGGGAGATATCATCTTCAAACATGACTTATGAAAGTCAAAAGCTTCGCACAATAGGAGTTACCATATGGTTATTATGGGGCTAACGGTAATAGTCACCCCCATATCCCCGTCCACGGCCATAATAAGGAGGATATGGTCGGAACTGCAAGACAGAAAGAAAAGCATTTTGAATTAAATTCTTACACACTGGAAAATTTTGGATCATATAGAGCAGAGGAGCTTACATCAGAGCCATTGTAATCATGTGGGTATGGATCTCCTCCAACTGGATAGTTATCTACAATATAGAGCAATAGAGATTATCAGACAACTAGAGCTAGGGATGAGCAATGATTTGGCCATGACCAGACTGAAACAGACCGAATTGACATATGGACTGAATCAGGTCGAATCAGCCTGGACCGTATATATCTCAATTTGGTTCCGCTCGTCAAATTGTTTTAACAAAGAATTTGGTTCCGGTTCCATAAATTATCTTGAAAAGAAAGGCAAAAGTGAACTGATTATGCTTTTGATCAGCCCCAATGCTGATTCAGTCTGATTCTTAACAGGACCATGCCCATCCCTTAAGAAAATTTTCAAGCGAAGGAAATAGAAATCAACAGAAAATTCTTACCACGATAGTGTGTTCCACGGTACGCGACAGCTGGATCAGGATAATCAAATCGAGGGCGGTATCGACTAGATTCCGCATAATCAGGTTCAGGATCCTGCAAATAAAGGAGGTTCACAATCCAGGGGACTACAAACAACTGTAGACATTTCCAACGACAGCAATAACAAGCAACCAAAGATCACAACAGGAAAAGTACAAGGGCTTACAGTCATGTAAAATGGCCGCTTCGTCCCATGCATACCATCATGGTACAGGTAAGGGTCGTCATAGCGCCTTCCTCCATAAGGTCCATCAAAAGCTTCTTCAGCAAATGGTAGTCTCCTAAAATGAACCTGATCACTTGGTCCTCCCTCACTAACATCATGCCAAGTTCTATTTACATTGGGTCTGGGTGGGCCAGGAAACGGAACACCTCCACCAGCCGCTTGATAACCACCTCTTATAGGACCCCTTCCCCTGCCTTACGAGATATGCAAGTGTTAGATTGTAAGTCGAATCCACTAGCTCGATTAGAAGAATCACAGTGGAAAGGGAGGCAGAGAGCGGGAGAGATGGAGAGTTAAGCAAACCTCGTTCAGCAGTTTGCCTTCCATGAAATGGATCGTATCTGTTGTTAAATCCATAATCCTCAGGACCCACTCTATAAGTTTGGCCACGTCCCCGTTGATAGAATCCCCTACCTCGCTGATTTGTCAAGTTAAACTGATTTCCTTCCCGGCCTGTAAAATAGTTTGAGATTATAAACAAATGACATTAATTCAGGTGATAGAATGCTCCACAACAAAGCTTACCAGATCTCTGAAAGTTTACAGTATCGACACGGGTGGTGTGACCAATTAGAAAACCACCACGCATCCCTCCCTTTACAGCTTGAGTCTTAGGCGCAGGATTGGAAAGCCTTGCTCTTACTTTTGTCTGTCAGGATTCAAAACATTCTGGCCAGTTATGATTCATGTTTCACATGTCTAAGCATCCTATGGACACTTAGTTTGGTGAGGAAAAGAGTCATTAAGAAAAAATCTGAATTTAAGGGAAACACAAGGACATGACTTCTCAAAGGAGATCGCCATAAGGAAGAGAAAGTTACTGCTAGCAAATTCATTCCTTGGCAAACAGGACAAAGAAAGAAACCACTCCAGCATGTTCAAGTAGTCTAGCATGTATCCAGCAAGAAAAACATTAGGCAAAGGCATGTGAAAACAATATAAGAATAATAGAAGTAGATTACAACACAAGACGAAAGACTACCTGTGTGTTTCCACCACTGCTTTCTGCATCATTTACTCCCTAAATACAGGCAATGGCAGCATCATGAGTGGAGAAATCAACGAATCCAAAATCCTTTCTCTTGGCAGTGGGCATATTCCTTGCCAGTGCTATTCGTGTGATTTCCCCGTATCCTTTAAGACGTTCTCTCACATGGTCTTCATCCCAGTGTAAAGGAAGGCCATCAAGAAATACTGTCTTCACCTCCGCCATTATTTGAGGGTCAGGCTCACTTATGGGTTCTGCTAAAGCTACCTTTGCAGTTCTCTCAGGATGACCAAAAACAACATCACGCTTCTGGAGCCTTTTGTATGCCAGCATGGCATCAGCACGGCAAGAAAACTCGAGAAATGAAAACCCACGACTTCTTCCTTCGTGTTGAACATTAGAAACAAGATTGATGCTTTCAACGCCCTCTACACCATATTCCTTCAACTTTCGCCTTATCTGCACAACAGATTATCTCATAAATCAATGACAAATAATGGTTATCAGGCTTACATAATAATAAAGAATGTACTCACAGCTTCTTTTGTCCATGTGTTGCATATATTGTCGAGGAACAATGTGTCATTGCCCTCCCTTGGAGCTGTGCCACATCGCTTTCCACAAATCTAAGAACAAATGAATTTCAGAACAGAAACTTAGTCAGAGTATGCTAAAATACAAGTGAACAATACCTACCACAAGATTTTTCATTTCTGACAAAGCTCGCTTAACATGCTCCTTGTTGGAAAACCTCAAAAATGCATACCCTCTACTCTTGTCTGTTGAAAAATCTTTGTGCATTCGAACTTCAACTACTGGACCAACATATTCAAAAGCCTTCTTCACATTTTCTTCAGTAGTATCCATATCCAGACCGCCTACAAAAATCTCATACTCTTTCTTAATTTTGTGTTCTTCTGCAACAGCAGTTAGTTGCTTACCTTCTTCCTCCAATACAACAGCATTATCGCCAGCACGTGGCTACTTGTCATCCACTATGAATTCACTCTGGATAGGATCTTCCAACTCTAGGCGATCCCCATCACAAGCAGAGACTTCTTTCCCTGATGGAGTATTTCCTCCTTCAATCTTATTCTCTTTACTTCCTTCTAGGTTAAGACTATCAGCTTTACATTGCTCCTTGTCATTAACACTTCCTCCCAGATTCTCCTTTGGGACCTCCTTCACATCTTTACCCAATTCTTCTTTTCCCTCGTTATTGGCTGGAAATGTAGCAGACAGGTCGAATTCAACAGAGTTTTCTGCTTTCTCAATAGATCCGTCAAGAGAATCAACAGAAGGATGAGAATCCTCTGCAGACCTAATAACAAGTTCTTCCACTTCACCTACATCGTCCTCCCCTTTCACTAGAGATTTCACTGCAGTTTGTTCCATCTCAGAGGAATTTTCCACATTTATACAATCAGATTCCTCTTTATTACAAGAGTCAACATCCTTCAGCCCAACCGTCACCACTTTCGTGCTTTCTTCAGTCACAGCATTAAACGCATCTTCTGCCTTCTCACCACTATCTTCTTCTCGGACTCTGGTGCCCTCTTCTTCAGTCTCCACCTTAACTGGTTCTGCTGCCATCTCATCACAATCTTCTTTCAGGACTTCAGAGCTTTCTTCTTTAGTCTCTATCTTAGCTGGATCTGCTGCCATCTCAACACTATCTTCTTTCTGAAGGTTAGAGCTTTCTTCTTCAATCTCAGTCTTAACTGGTTCCACTGATTGCTCAACATTATCTTCTTTTGGGACTTCTGTGTTTTTTTCTCCAGTCTCACCCATAACGGGTTCTACCGCTTGCTCAACACTGTCCTCTTTCGGAGTACGAGGTGTACCCACTTTCAACTATTTTTTCTTCACCATCTTCACAACTTTCTTCACTACCCTTCTTGTCCGCGGAATAGTTTTTGCATCCATCATGACAATGTATGTATTGTTTGATACTTGAGCTTCTTCAACTGATAGGCAAAATCACTCAACTTAAGAACCATCATACACTAAAAAAAACTAATCTTGCTATAGCCTGAACTTACAATTGAATGTGGGCAACTAACTAATTCAGTACAGATTACCAGAACTTGGAAGAAACCCGATTTTACCTGCTAATTGATCCGATTCCGAATCAGGAACGACAGTTGGAGAAGGTGGTTTATCTTCGTCCATGGTCTGCTCGGATTTACCTGGCAAGCCTGGTTCCAGTTCAGAAGCTTTTGGAGCTATCGATTCCACTGCAGCATCAGGCGTCGTCACATAAGTGTTTTTGGCGGCAGTTTTTCTGCTCACCGGAGTTCGTTTAGGCGTTGTCGCCGGTTTAGCAGTATCCCCGTTTCGCGTCCTCATCGTGCACTTCTAAGGCTATTGTACTGCAATTTCAGGGACCAAATCAAAATCAAATTGTTTCTTCCTTGAAGGCGAAGAACCAGATTGAAAACATCACAATGGAAACAGAGGAATCACACACTCGATTCCCACGAATCCCACCATGTACAACACGAACAAAAATTCGTAACGAAGGGTTGCAGAGACACGGAAAGCTGAATGAGTAGCAACAAGATTAAGAATTCGGAACTTACTTCTCCAATGACTTTTGTTCAGCTCGCGGAAGTAACCCGATAACGGAATTTGCAGGAGAGGAGTTGGGGAAACTGGAAAAAAAATGACGAGCAAAAGCAAACCCCTAGGAATTGGGTAATTTCGTATTTCCGCCAGTACATTGAAAGACTTGTTTACCCAATTACCCTTAAGTCGAACATAGTTGATAGAAGGGTTATAGGTATAATATGTCCCTCTACTATATGTTGTTTTATCAAACATGCCCCTCTACTATTTTTACATAAAAAATGTCTTTGTACTTAAGAAAAATGATTAAACATGCCCTTCTATTAATATTTTCATCCAAAAACAGTCAATCATGATTGACCGTTAAGTCTTAATGGTTGACCAGACGGTGTTTAAAACGACGTCGGATTGCTGCCGACATGGCTGCCTCTTGCAGACACGTTGATGCCACGTCAAATGGGAATTATTTTATTTTTTTACAATTTTACCTCAGCTTATATTTACCTTCTTCACCTCTTCCCATCGACCTAATTTCTTATCTTCTGCCCTTTCTTCTCCTCTACCCAGCCAAAGTCCCGAACTTGGTTTGCTCGAATGTGGCTTTCGAAGACGACGACGGGATGTTGTGTTTGGGCAGGCGCATATGGAGAAGTAGCGAGGGCGGGGCTTGCATTGTGTCGGCGCATAGTGGGTGGCGTAGTAGTGGCGGTGAGGAGCCACGAGGAGCTAAGGCTGGTATTTGTGCAGGGGTGAGGAGATCCGACTATGAAGACCCACTTTGCGAGGAATGTCATTCCGCCAGAAAAGAGTCTTACCATCTATTAGGTACTGTACTAGTTCGTTTTGGTAATTCAGAGTTTCTTTCAATTGGGGATTTAGTGTCCTGTTTTCGTGGCAGCAATTCAAACATGTCTAGAAGAGACTCACAAAGCATTTCTGGGACGAATTCATCAAACTCACGTACCGTTAAATGCCGGCATAAAATGAAGTAGTGGTTTGTTTTTTATTTCTGATTGAGATGGGCAATGATCTCACCATGGCTTGATTTCTACATGGCAGAATGAGGAAGAAAGTTGTCATTTGTTCATTTATGTTGATACTATGAACGAAGACAACGAAGGTGCTTGCTCCAATGGTTTTGTTGGAGGGAATGAACATATCAGGTCGAACCTAAGTTTGATGGACTTGCACACTGAAAGCTTGAAAGAGAGTTTAAGGGTTGCTGAAGAAAAAGCAGTGCGAAGGAAGAAGGCCTTAAAATTGTTGTATGGTGATTTAGCTAGCATTAGAGAAGAGAATGCTAGGTTGATTGGGGATTTAAGGTTGGCCAATATACGTCTGTTGTGTGTATTGGTCGTTTTAGCAACCTTAGTTATAGGGATAGTTATTGTAGGTTTGAATTCCTCCAGCATGTTCTAATCTGTTGTTGTTGTTGTAAGCTGTTGTACGAACCTTTCTATGTTAGTTATCTAATGGGATCTTTCTTTGTATTTTAACTTGCATCTAGTGTCTATACCAGTTTGTGTGTTATACTTAAGAAATCAAAAAGCAGGCATCATCAATTCACAAAAATTGGACATACTAAATAGCTGCTTTTACATTCACATAAACATGTCATTACCAAGGTACCTAAAATGTCATCCCTTAAGGTACCTAAAATGTCTTCACAGAAGTACATAATAATGTCGATCCAATGTTTAGGAAATATACAACATTTCCATGGATCTACAAGTAACCTACCATACAAAAGGTTTATCCAACTTCAATGTCACAACTGAAAACGAATACCACAGATCTGCTAGAGGTAGGCTACTATACAAAAAACATACACATTCTACTGCCATCTAAACTACTACTGAGGTTGAGAAGGTTGCGTGGCAGGTGGTTGAGATCCACCTTGATCTATCTCAGTAGGAGTTGCATTCTGAAGGATCCTTCCACTTCTTAGCGTTCTGCCACGTCCATTAGCACCATTGAGGATGACATAGGTATTACCCAAATCAGTGTGCCGAACTCCAATCCCTTGGTTAGCCTACACACTCGTGTATGGAGGTAACATATTAGAGCAAACATGCACAATTACATAAACATCAAATAGAATAGTAAGGTTGTGCATTCAACTTATTCACATACCATCCTAACCTCCCTTACTAAATCACGCATGCTGGTCACTTCACGATTAAAGAAGGCTTCCTTTTAACATATACATTAATCAGATTTCATATTAAAGGCCATTTCAATTATATGCTTCATCTCTCAGTAGACTTACTTGGATTCCGCCAGTTAAGGGACATGTCCTTGCGTTATGGTCATCTCCTTTGCATTTGGAACACAAACCTCTGCTCCTTCTTGCAGCTGGAGCAACTGGAGCGGCAGTGGTTTTGCAACGGCCTCCTTGAACTGCTCGGGGTTGTCAAATGTCATGCCCACAACCAACTTGAGGGTTGAATGGTCACACATAGGGTCATATCGAGGTACGTTTTCTAGAGGGATACCTTTGTCTTTGTCATCAATGTTGCCCCTCACGTGGCGTGACTCAATTGAACCCCTGTAGGTTGAATCTTGCACCACCCTGTCGATCAAGTCTTCGTCAACACCGTCACTCGCACCAATGGTCTCGTTGTTACCTCTGCCTTCATCCACAAGTGGGTCACCATCAACAAACAAAGACTCTTGCTCGACCTCCTCCCCGGTTCGATCAACACGAGTACGAACTCGTCGTGGTCTGACTCCTTGCTCCTCCATTGCTGCAATGAACTCATCATCCGAAGTTCGGATATCATCATCCATGAGATGGATAATGTCTCGGTTTTGTGAGTTATCCCCATCCTCCGAATCACCATCATTAGATAACTCTTCTCCAAGTTCTTCATTGTCACCGATCTGAGTTTCTATTGCTTCCATGAATATGATAATTTTTCCATCTTCTATGGCTGGGAGCAAGTCATCCATCACCTCACTATCAGACCGTATTTCAACTAGACCATTATCCAAAGTGTCGGAGGGTGCCATGCACCACAGCCTCTCAACCCTTGCGTAATCGAAGTGGACTGTTCCAATTTGTTGGAGTTGGAAGAATGAGACATAATCTTTGTCCATGTCAACATCCTCTGACTTGCCATTTATGTAGCGAATGCCATCATCATAATATTGCATTTTCCCGCCAAGATGGACTATCAACTCCACCAATGTCGACATCCTGCAAAACCAAACAACCCCCCTTTAACAATAGCCTAAATTCATCGAATTCATACATTAAGCATACTTTAACCACCCCTAATTTTTTATTCCGTAAAGCATTCCACAAAGCAACTAGAATACAACTTTGGATCTGGAAGACCACTAACCCGATTCCCAACTCAATTGAATAATTCGACCCAAGACAATGACTTCTCAATCACCAATGTACCAATGCGTACTAATTTCACCCATATCATACCTGTTACTGATAGGGGTGGAAATTGGGGTGGGTGTGGTTACCCGCCCCACATTTTGTGGGTAACCACACCCACAAATATAGAATTATGCTACCCACAACCCGCCCCGCGATGGGTAGTGGTTAACCACTATCCGGTGTGGGTTGGTTGTGGATACCCACAAAAATTTCATTATTAAATAAAATAATGGTAATTAAATAGTGAAGTTGTGTTTCTTCTCACACCAAAAAAACATACATAAAAGAAAGTTAATAAAGTGTTAAATAAATTATAAATCACGAATACGAGAGATTAGTTAGTGTAAATTCATAAGAGATGGATTTGGAAAGAGATTTGAAGATAACGAAGAGGCGGAGTGACCTGTTACCAGAGAAACATCGTTGCATGTCACGACTCCTCCGATGGAAACAACAACAAAACACAAAAGTGGCTCGATAAGTGGAGGCACCCGCTTTTAATGAATCAATTATTCTCCACTCTCGATTATAGTCTTGTATTGTTGGTAGCTAGTTGCATGTTGTGTTGTTCATGAGTTTGTGGAGAAATGGAGACGAGTTTGGATATCGAACTAACCTTTGTCGATTATTCCCCTCTTCTAACGAATCAATTTTCTTATCTGATTATATCTATGGACTTGGTTTTGTTATAAAATAAACATATACCACAAGGACAATGCTTATTTGATAGAAGTATCCCACACGAACATTGCTTATTGAATTGGTTTTGTTTTATAAAATAAATATGTATTTGATTTTAGTAGCTACCTTAATTTTTCGTCTTCCAAGTTTCACAAACTAATATAACTAATGTGGGTAATGTGGATTTTGTGGGTAAACCGTTGTGGGTAGTGGTTAACCACTAACCACAAAAATCAATATTTGGATACCCACACCCAACCCACTATCCACAAATTGTGGGTATGGGTATCCACAAAGTGTGTGGTTTGCAGGTTACCCGCAACCCGCAAACCAAACTTCCACCCCTAGTTACTAAAGTGGCCAAAAGGGTAAAGTAGTCTTCACACTATGCTCGTGGTCCCTTCTATTCAATCTTTTCGCAGCGAATCTCCAGCTATAACACAGTGAAGCAGCTACGCCATTTACTCCTTTGTACTATTTCTGGCACCTTCTTTGCTTCCCAACCACCCAGTCACCCTTCAAATACTTCCAACACTCCAGAAAAGAGACCACAAAGCCTCGCACAGAAACCCTAGAAATTCTGGGGGAAACTCAAATCCCGAAAATCAGCGCATTCTTCTTCAAATGGCTGCTCGAATCCTTCAATGGTAGACGATTTGAAGGCTGCGAATGTTCCAGGAGATGTCCAGAAGAAAGAATCGGCGATGGTGGTCGTGGGTCGAGCTTCATCAGACGGAGGAGGCTGAAGAAATCGCCCTCCCCTCGAGGAATCGATCGCCCGCTTTCTGTCTTCCCCGCTCCTCGTGTTGCTGAGAGCCTTCACCAGCTCCGAATCGAACGACCCATGCTCGAGTAGAGGAGAATGAATCGATCGCCATCGTCGGGAGACTATTTAGGATTCTTGGTTTCCTTTGGGTTTTCCTCTCTCTTCGATAAGATAAGGTAAATGAGGTGGGTGAAATGGCCACACAAAATTTACCTTTTATGTCATTTTATCTTTTTAAAATAAGAAATAACTAAAAGCCTCGTCGCAGAACAAGGAGCCACGTCCGCATGCACATCAACGCTGATCTGTCATTCCGTTAAAATCTAACGGTCAACAAAAGTCAACGATAATAAAATCATAGTTCAGGACACAGATGAAATATTGGAAAACAATAGGACACAAGTGGCATTTTTGGGATAGTTCGGGTGTTGTAGTGGTATTAGCTCTTGATAGAATAATTCTTGATCATAATTTTCAGCATGAGTAGTGCCACCAATATGAGATTCGTGACTGGTAGTAAAATACCGATTCAGGATGAGTAGGCTTAATTTGATCTTCATAAATTTCGTGAGATAGTTTTTTAGGAAGTTTTGTTATAGCATTTATAACGGTCTCGGGTTTAGAGGGCAGCCCGGCATATATCTCGATAAAAAAGGTTGTCAATCCAATACGGTTGCGGCGGTTTAGTAAGTGTAATGATTTGACCGGTGGTACATTCGAGCTATATTGATTCATGCCCATTTAATAAATTATGTAAAATTGTAAGAAATTATTAACATGCAATGAATTAAATTATATATAAAATATTTTTTAAAAATAATTTACTTACAATTCATATTAAATTAAATTAAATAAAATAAAATAAAATAAAATATGATATCTCAAATAAAATAATAAATACCCATATATAAATATAATATTTAACGTCAATATCTATTTGAAACATAGATTCTCATATTCGGTTAATTGTTTGTTAACCGTAAACCGACTGCTAGATTATTGGTTACAGCAAAAACCATTTCAGCCTAATGATTATCGCACCATACATTATAATCGATTAACAATATAGCTGCTAATTGTGACGAACAAAAATTTTGTCTAGCGGTACCACTAACCTGGAACCTCAAGGTTCTCGGTTCGAATCCTTTTACTAGTACCTTAATCACCAGGTTCCATGTTCGAATCCTTTTACTAATACCTTAATCACACAAAAAAATAACTTATATCACCTTATAAAAAAAAACTGCTAATTATCGGATATTAGTTAGTTTATCAATATAAGCGCTAACTGACAAACTAAATATTGCCCTAATTATCCTTTTTGTTTTGTTGTTTCACGTATTTCTTTTTCCTTTGAGCTCCCGGATTAGTGTGGGTCAACTTTAAAAGAGAAACCAATTCCTCTCGAGAAGATGAAAGCAGTACGTAGTACGTACTACTACTTTGCTTTTTCTAGGAGTATCAGAATTCCTACCGAGCCAAGGATAATCATACGCAAAGCCTATATATATAGACCAAGCACAATCTAACTCACACCAAAGGAGAAATAATCAGTTCCGTTCTCTCCTCTTCGTTTTGTTCAAATCACAACCATGACGATCTTGACGAGGATGGTGAAGGTGGCCGCCCGCAACGGCCGCGAAAAGTTGGAATCCATCATCGACGGCTTTGGCGGCCGCTGGCGGAGCGCTTCCCGATGCAAGCGGGTCGTGAGGCGATTGCAAAACCGTCTCGCCAAATCGAAGGACTCGAGGATTGGAATGGTGAAACGCCTTCGCCCCGAGGTAGCCACATTCGTACAAAACAAGGAGAGTGATTTGGCTCTGTTAACCGCGGAACAGATTGTGGAGGACGAGAACACGATCCAACTCTACGAGTTGCTGCACGAGTTATGCCAGAACATCGTCAACAACCTCCCGTACATCCGCCTCCGCCACAAGGACTGCCCCAACGAGGTCAGCAGAGCCATCTCCGCGCTGTCGTTCGCCGCCTCGAGCTGCCCCGATCTCCCGGAGCTTCAAACCATTCGACAGCTTTTCATCGAGCGTTATGGCGACGACTTGTTCGACAAGGCATCGTCCCTGCACGAGGGTAATTCGCATAACCGTTTCTTTAACTTGGGAGTGGAGGAGAGGCTCGCGTTGAGGCGTACCGTCTCGGACGATATGAAGGTCAGAAAGGTTAGCGAGATAATCGGGGTGGACTGCAGCTCGATGAGGAAAAGCAGAAAGGGTTCGAGTAGTGGTAAAAGTAGTATTGCGGTGGATGTTTCTTGCGGGAGAAGTTACCGTTACCATCAGGACGACGACGAGGATGGTAGTTGTGGTGGGAGTAGCATTGAAAAGGTTTGGAAGTCGCTGGAGAGGATGAACGTGGGAATAAAGAAGTCGTCGGCGATTCTGAAAGCGAGCTCGATGCCGCAGCTAGGGGGTTGGTGCCGGTCGGACAAGGATCTGGAGACGAAGGCGACGTCGATGAAGCGGATAGCTTCGCTTCCCAGCATGTTGCCGAGCCACGTTCATCCTAAGCTGCCAGATTGCGATGATTTGGAGGAGAAGTTCAGAGCTCTCAAGATGGAGTATATGAAAGTGAAACGCAGCGTTGCGGAGCCAATCTTGTTACATTGACTAACTAAGCGTTGCTAGCTGTGATTGCAATTCTTTGTCATTCGTTTGTTACGGTGCTAACCTTTAAAGTTAAATCCCTGAGCCGGAAAAACAACTCAACCCTTGGTCACGATTCTTTTTTTTTTTTTTACTTTGTTAAATAAGGAAGCAGTTATACATGTATGAATTTGGGTGACTTTCTCTATAATCAAAAGTTCAAAACTAGTTTATAAGTTCTTGATCCATTATGAGGGTTGTGCCCTTCACTAAAACCCCCTTTTAGTGCCTCCGGGCAGGGGTGTTCAAATGATTACCGTGGTAATAACCAAACCAATTTAGTCTAAATTTCATTAATCATGGAATAAAATGTCTTAACCAAACCGTCCAAATTAACACAAAAACAAAATTAACCAAACCAAAGTTTAATTGGTTTGGTTAATCGGATAACCGGATTAACCATATACCATAACATTACATAAAAACATTTATCCTGTTAATGAATAAAACATAACCATATGTTATTACTATCATAACTATCATTATATATAAGCAATAATAATAAGACAAACCATCCATTATAATCATCATCATTCGAGTTAATACATTATTCATCATCTTTGCACCTAATATAGTTAGCTTACAACAAACCCTTAACATAAATATTAAATACATACCAGTACCACTTATCAGGAAGTTAAAACTCTTCTACAAAACACTTAAACTATACATAGTTTAAGATGGTTGTCATGGTATTGTACGTAATCCTAAAGTCTATTAGCTGTCTAAAATGTTTTGGTTTAGTAAATAGGCAGGCCCATTTAATTTTTGACCGATAATACTTTGCTTTTTTGTGCACATGGAAATAAAATAGGGAATCACGAAAGTTTGGTTTGGTTGGTTGCATGTAAGTATAAATAATTTTGAATATTAGGTGTATCATTAATTGGTTAGCAGTGTTGAAACCAAACCAAACCACCTAAACCAAATAAGCTAAATTGTTTGGCCAAACCAAATTAACCGAATACTACCAGTTGATATGGTTACCACGGTAACCAATCCGTTTGAACACCCCTACCTCTGGGAACACCACAACTGGCATCGAAGTAGGTCGAACACGGGACCTCACACTTCCGGTCGAGGGTCACTAGAGAGTTTTAGCAGTTAGACTATGTAACCCTTGACAACTTTTACCAGCTATAATGATGCTGGTTTTTTCAAGTTACCGCCACAAATCAAACCTATTCCAACAAAAAAACTCTTAGTTATCGAAATTACAGTACTTAAATTGCTTTACAAAAAATAAAAATAATAGCATAGTTTAACCTTAATGCCAAAGACGTCTCCCTTAGACAAGCGAAGAAGAGTTTAAAACTAGTCGTGAACAAACGAGATAAATTACCTTTATTCTTCTATATATAGAAGCTTGGTTTATTAGTTGAGAATGCACTAGGGGATAACACGTGTCCTAAACCTCTACAACAGTACACAATTTTTTTATACTTATTACAACTTTGCCATTTGCATTAAGAATTCGCAATCCAACTACATCTGGGTTTTTCTCGAAGCAAATGCAACTTGCTATCCATGTCTAGATCATAGCGACGTTTTGCCCCAAAATACAAGTCCATAACCAAATGAACCAAGTACCCGAATCAATGTCTACTTATTTCATGCACTAGTTTCTTCTTCATCCAATATTTCATTATAGTAAACTAAACCAAGAGCAACCTAGAACTGTCCTTCAACATAATATGCATGTAAATCTTCAAATTGGGCTAACCAATCGATGTCTCGCCATGAATCAGCTTCGGAGACTTTCAATTTGCCTTTGTTTAATCCCCAAATATGGCTATTTGAAAGATCCGGTATCATAAACTACATAATCAAGGAATAGAAGCACAAACAATGTCAAACAATCGATATGAGATGAAGAGCAGCAACTTAGTCTATGTTATAAGAAGCATAGACCAAACTGCATGTGTCCGGAGAAGAAGTTTCAAATGATATATGAGATGCAAAGAATATGTGAACGGCTATTTGCCGCCAATCAAATTGCTATTTGCCGCCAACTAAAAAAAAAAAAAAAAGAATTCAAAATTTGAATTTTCTATTCCTTCCCAGTGCCTCCGTCGCCGGTAAAAAAAAAAAATTTTAATTTTGAATTTTCCCTTCCTTCCCAGTGCCTCCGTCGCCGGCACCGTTCGTCCGTCGTCGGCTAACCTCCCGTCGCCCTCAATCGTCGGAAAACAAGTAAGTTTACTTTTTCCGGCCAGTTTTCCAGTTTTCCGGTAAGTTTTCCAGTTTTCCGGCGAAAAACACGGCGGGCCGAAAAAAAATTGCGGCCCGAACGTCGCCGAGCCGAAAAAAAATTGTGGCCGGGACGACGGCCGGCCGAAAAATTCTTTCGGCCCGGCGACGCCACGGCCGCATATTTTTTTCGGCCGGTCGCCGAACACGCCGGCAAAAAATTTTCCGGCGGCGTGTTCGTCGGCCGGCCGAAAAAAATTTGCGGCCGGAGCGACGTCGGGCCGAAAGAATTTTTTTGGCCGGTCGCCGAACACGCCGGCAAAAAATTTTCCGGCGGCGTGTTCGTCGGCCGGCCGAAAAAAATTTGCGGCCGGAGCGACGTCGGGCCGAAAGAATTTTTTTCGGCCGGTCGCCGAACACGCCGGCAAAAAATTTTCCGGCGGCGTGTTCGTCGGCCGGCCGAAAAAAATTTGCGGCCGTGGCGTCGCCGGGCCGAAAGAATTTTTCGGCCGGCCGTCGTCCCGGCCACAAATTTTTTTCGGCTCAGCGACGTTCGGGCCGCAATTTTTTTCGGCCCGCCGTGTTTTTCGCCGGAAAACTGGAAAACTTACCGGAAAACTAGAAAACTGGCCGGAAAAAGTAAACTTACTTGTTTTCCGACGATTGAGGGCGACGGGAGGTTAGCCGACGACGGAAGAACGGTGCCGACGATTGACTTGCCTCGCGCCCGATCTTCGTCCAATCGACCCCGAACTCGCTAGAAATCCATAATGAAATTCATAAGTTCATAATGACACTAGGGTCATTAAAAATACAACTAGAAAAACAACAACATATAAATAGAGCATTGCAACACGACACACGATTTACGTAGTTCACTAACACGAAGTATTTAGAGTATTTAGCGAGACCCCCGATTACCAGTCGTAGCGGCTGATAGTCCGATTCAAGTCACATCAACAAAGGGTTTAGGGTTTAGGGTTCAGGGTTCACTTAGGGTTTAGGGTTTGAAACACATGGTTCGTGTAGCACTTTGCCCACATTGTCTGATGGTTAGTGATGATTCATGGATGCGTGTACGCATTATATGTCGAGGATAGGCTTTCCCGATGATTTTCCGACGACTTTTCCGGCGAGCGTTGAATTTTTCTGATTCAATACGTTCTCTGAAAGTTGGATATGTTGTAGATTGTGAAACTCCTTAACCAAAGATGTATATATATACATTTTTTTTCATCGATGATTTTCCAGCGACTTTTCCGGCGAGCGTTGAATTTTTCTGATTAAATACGTTCTCTGAAAGTTGGATATGTTGTAGATTGTGAAACTCCTTAACCAAAGATGCATATATATACTTTTTTTTTTTTTGGTTGGCGGCAAATAGCAATTTGGTTGGCGGCAAATAGCAAGCCCCAAGGTTCATGCATCAACGAAACTAATCACAGCTAAAAGATGTGTTCAAATAAGAAATAATTACCCATAGAGAAAGAATAATCTCAGATTGAACAACGAAAAATAAAAACTTGAGCCAACTAGGCTAGATATATATGAACTAAACAAGAAAAGTGATTAGAAGGAATGACAGATGAAACCATCCAAATGACGGGGAGTCGGTGAGAGGAAATGATGGAGAAGAGTAGCGGTAAATAAAATATTAAACGTTCTACATAAACTATTAAAATGATGAATTCGTGCTTATTAGAAGTGGGGAGGCAAGAGAGATAATATGCAAACGAGTTCAAGTTGAACTAAATATTAAAGCAAATAGTTCTTTCCTTTATAGTCGATCGTTATTTTCCAATAATTCAAGCGTAAAATACAACAAACCAAATAAAAACTTAACGCACAAAATCAATAGGAAAAATGAGTGTGGTTTGTTTCATGGATCTGAAAAATGAAAGTTTTAGTATAACTTGAGTTTTGAAAACCCATAGATATATGAGGGTTTTGAGTTCATTATGGATACGATAAACACCATTGTTTGTTTGATGGATTTTGTTAATTAAATTTGTATGTATGAAGTGTAATTTACCTTTATTGTCATCAATGATATAAGAAGAGCGAGAAAATATGAGGGGTAGGTTGGTAAAAATGATGGACTTCAAAGTCCATAATAAATTCCCACCTAAAAAAGTGGAATTTTTAGGTCCGTAGGGCCCATGGATTTGGACCTGCAAAGGCCATGGGTCCCTTGGATTTTTCACCTCTATGATGGATTTGGTGATGATTTGGATTCATGATCGATTTTGTCCAAAATCTATGGTTTGCTTCAAGTATTTAGAGGTAACAAAGTTGTGGGACCCATGGACTTTGAAGTTCCAAATTTGTGAGCCCACAGAATTGAAAAACCCACCTGTACGTGGGTACCGGGCCGGGCTAGCACGACACGACACGGTTATAGCACGACACGAGCACAGACACGAAATAAATGGGCCCGCCCGGCACGAGCACGAATAATTTATGGGCCGTGACGGGCCTAAACTTCATAGGCACGGGCACGACACGGTATATAAGTGGGTCGTGTTGCGCCTAATATTTTTGAGATTTTATTGAGTATAGGAACGGGCATGGCACAAAAATAACATTTATTTGATAGAAAATAGATTTAAAAAGAATTATAAGTTCAAATATTACAAAATACAAATAGAAAAATAATTATTTGTTGTTGTCAGAAGTGTCATAAAGATATATACGTAATTACTACCATAAGAAAAAATGGACGAAGAATTAAACAAAGCTAAATCACACCCGTTATACTTCCAATTTTCTTTTTCCCCTTAGTTGTTACTTTTCTCAAACATTCTCGGTTAATACTATCTTTCTTCATCCAATTTTCACCTTCTTTTTCATTCTCTCTTTTATTTTCTTCCTTTTCATTAGACACGAATACGAGCACGAATAGGCACGACACGATTCCAACCGTGCTCGGGCCTGGGCCGGGCCTAACAAAGTTAACAAATAGGCTTTCACGGCACGAAATAAATGGTCCTGAACCTTGCTTGTGCCGTGTCGGCCCAAGCACGGCTCAGCGCCCATGTACGGGTGAGAATTGATCATGGATTTGAAGTTCATCATTTTTACCAAACCCACCCCTCATATTTTCTTTCTCTTCTTATATCATTGAGGCAATAAA